ATAATTTCTTTACAATTTGCACGAAAACTTATTGGGATAGATAGAGTTGATTGATTTTAAAAGTGAAAAAAGACTTGTAAATGTGTAAGAGTTTTGTGTCTTCCCACAAAATACTATTATATATTATAACAACTCTAATAATCCATCCAATGGAATAACAAACCAAAAAAAAATTATGAAAGAATTAGTGGATAAACATTTCCTATTTACTATTTAGAACTGTGGTACAAACCAAATATTGATTACCAAAGAAGCCAAAACAAAACAAATCAAACAAGAACAACCCATTCTGAAAAAGAAGAATATTTACTCAAACCAAATTCTGGTTTAGGCTGTGCCATTGTCACCCTTATGAGCTCGATTTGCCTTCTTTCTCTGGAAATTCGATCTGTGTTGGCAGGAGTTTCAAGAAGCTTCCCTGCTGACTTGTGGTGCCACTCACTGATTCATCCTCTGTCAAATTTTTTTTTTACAATCTGGTTAGAGCTAAACCATATCATGCAATTCTGAGACAATGAGTTGAAATAGATTGTAATAATGTTATCAATGTAATGTCTTTCAGTAATGCAATATAGCATCTTAATGGTAAACCATTCCAAACATGGGAAATGCATTTACCAAAGAGGGATTTAATTGATGGCCGCTTTGGCTTTGTGCTCTTCTTCTTCAGCTCAGCTGCAACAGTAACAGTAACAGAACACAGATTACAACATACCAAACATGGAGTGTGTGATTACAAGACATATTAGTTATGTAAGTGAGATCTACCTATCCCTGGTAATTGATCGTCATTTACTATTTCAACGTTCTTGTAAGTATAACCCACAAAGTTAATGTCTTTGGATGAGAGCATCTGGAGAYAACCAAAAAAAAAAAAACAAAGACAGTCTCATGTTACGAATGCTAATGACAACGAAAAGTAGTGTATAACTTCATGCTAATGAAAATTTCGTACCTTTCTCCATGGACCTGATTTTGACAACTTTGGAACTTCCTTGGCAGTCTGTTACAGAAGGAATCAGAGAAGCATAGTATTATTCTCTATATCAATTGCTGCATACGCTTGATTGGTGGTGCTGTTTAATTATAAATTCAAACCATTTTGTGATAGGATAACTTTGTTTACCTCTTCAAATTTTTCAAAATTTTGAGTGTCCAACTCGTCATTAACTTTGGGAATAAAAGCAGCCTTCATTTGATACAATTTTTCCCATTCGACACCTCTGAACCAAGGGTGATCCTAGAAGAAATGCGAGCAAAAAGCATAAGTTAGGCGACTCTCGATAGTCTTCAGACAAGGGAACTTCAAAATCTTAGAAGCGTTTAAAGCACACAACAGTACCTTAATTTCATATGCCCCTTTTGTTCCAAGCCTTTGTTCTACGTTGCATAAAAGTCTACAAATAAGATCCTTCGCCTCTTGTGATAATCTAACCTCTTCTGGGAACTTCAAATAATTTCGCCAATTTACTATCTGCATTAGGAAGTATAAGAAGATATTCCGAGGTGAAAAGGTAGGTTATTGCATTCTAGTATCACAAAAGAGATGCAATAGAAAAAGATCACGAGCTAAACCGTATTCAAAATTTAGAGTCAAAATCCGATATTTAACTGAAAAGTCCATCAAAAGGGAGGACTGCTTACCTTCCTACACGTTGTCATTGGTTCATCTGAATAAAATGGTGGAAACCCCACAAGCATTTCATACATGATGGCACCAAGAGACCACCTAAAGTAATAAACCCCAAAACAATTCATCAGCAATAATATATTTCAAATTAAAGAAACCAAAGAGAAACAAGCCCAAACAGTTTTGCGGTACCTACCAATCACATTCCATTCCATATCCTTTCTTCAGCAAAACTTCTGGGGCGATATAGTCAGGAGTTCCAACTGTGGAATAAGCCTGCAATCGATAAAACCTTTTGCTTAGTAAGCTATATTTTAACAGAAACTTCAGTATCAACAGAGAGAAAAACTTGAATAAGATAATAAATTAATGGCTGTTTGTTCTATCTTGCAAAAGTAGACATCTCAGGACAAGAAAAAACCGATTTTCATAACATAAGACTCACAAGCATCCTTCTATTTTTCTGCCAGTTTTGCAGTTGTTCCAGTTGGGAACGGGTGCGTCTTGGTGCCACAGGGCGACCATCACTTTGTAGAGCACCACTAAGGTTGTGTGCAACTGTAAAATCTTTTTCCTGGAGAACACTACAGTCTAATGGCTTACACAATCCAAAATCTGATAATTTCATGTGACCGCTTCTGTCGAGTAGCAGATTATCAGGCTTGATATCTCTGTAACAAATCGGAGAAGTAAATGGATATTTAGAACAGCCAAAAGGAAAAGGACATAGGAGCTATATAGATTTATTCATATAGCCTGATTGATTCACTAAACCTGTGGATATAGTTGTGCTTATGAATGGACTCTATAGCCAAGACAGTTTCCCCAACATAAAATCTTGCCTCATCTTCAGTAAGTGTGTCTTTCCTCATAAGTAACGTCATCATATCCCCACCAGGTAGATACTCCATAATAAGATATAAATATTCTTCATCTTGGAAAGAACAATACAGCTTCACGATGCAGTTGCTGTCAACCTCTGCAAGTAAATTTCTCTCAGCTTTTACATGTTCCACCTGGAAATGAAAATCAGATCTTAACAAACCCGTTGATAGAACAAACGAAGATATATCAAATAAAGGCAGCTTGGAGGAAATACCTGGCCTCTACGTAGCATCTCAGATTTCTTCAGCTTTTTCATTGCATAGACATTGCCTGTTCCCTTCTCCCTACATATCCTAACCTGCATCAAGAGAAAGAAACCATAGGAGAACAAATAAGTGATTCACGTTGGCATTAAATTTCCATTTCAGGCACTATTCTTAACACCGGGAGCTAGTTGTATGATTCATACTCAAAACTAGAAAGATATCGATTCTCAGGAAAACTTGTATATATTCTCAGGTAACATAAATCGTACAGGCCAGTAGCAACTTAAGATGATCGAATAAAAGAAATTCTGCAGGTAGGCACATCTTCCAGAATACATTTGCATAGTGCAGAGAGTACACATGGATGCTAACCATTACAGACATTCATGTTTCCACAATTCTACGTCACAGGAAACGATCAAGATGATGTGCAGATATGAACGTCACTGAGAAGCTGAGAAAACAATGTGTTACCTCTCCAAAAGCGCCCTTTCCTATCATTGTCAATGGCTCGAAGTCATCAGTTCCCATTTTATGCCTCTGACGGCGCATGTATTCAGTTTCCTTCTTCTCTAAATCCTTAAGCAAATTCTTTTGCTCTTCCTCAGAGACTTCTGCAGCAGCTAACTTATTTTCCAGCATATTACGTCTGCATCCAATGCAATTACCAAAAAAAAAAAGGCGCTAAAGTGAAATTACCAATAGAGAGCAAAATGTATGAACAGAATCTTTAATGAAAATATGTTACAAAGTTTCACTTTGTAACTTGAGAATATGTAATGAAACCATACCGCTCCTTTCTTTCCTGCTGACTTTGCACTTGTTTTTTATAATGATTTTCGATATACTGTTTTGCAGCTGCAGCCTTCTGCTTTGTTACATTTGACACAACTTCTTCACCTCCAGCTGTTTTGGATCCATCCTTTACATCACTTCTACTAGTTTCCTTCTTTCTCGAGGATTTCTCCTTCCCTTTAGACTTTAACTTATTCAGCCAAGCTCTCGCAGTATCCATCGCTTCTCTTAAGTTAATCCCCAACCAAATATCAAAGATATGCTCCTTATGTAAAGGTCAGGCACTATGACGTCTACTTCAGTTATGTACAACAATAACCATATGTCATCCGACCAGACAGATTTTCTCTAGCACCTTGAACCTACAACCAAATGAAACATACAGTATATTAGTTAACAGCGTCTCCAACGACACATCTAAAAGATCATATTCGAAGTAACAAGAAATTTTTTGACCGATCGTGCTTACGTGAACACGCATTATTACCCTTATGTAGCGAAGAAAACACAAACTCAAAATGACCAAACATGAGTATATAAGAATAACCATGTATGAAAATGGATTATCAATTAAGAAGACATGATTAGCTGGCTATGCCGATTTTAGAGAGCATTCCATACTTTCAAACACAATAATCAACTAATGAGACGAGATTGAGTGATAAGCTAAACTAGAAGACTGGACACTGACGAATTCTGAGAATTGAATTGATAGTCAAATGCCTAATGCCTAGTGCCTAGTAAACTCATAACAAACGGCGAAGTTGGTAAAGAGAAACGTAACCTAAAACGAGGAAAAAGTTTACACCTTTTTCTCTCACAAGTTTCCAAAACTTTATCACAAGCGAAACCCTAACAGTAAGTTCCCAAATCAAACACATATCTGAAACCAAATCCTGAGAGATTCCGAATGATTACTTAACCAAAACAAACTCAATAACATGATTACTTAAAGGTAAAGGATTACCAAATCGATTAGAATGTACCGGTTGAATCAAGAAATCAAGCGGGAAACCAATAAGTTGATTCGGAGAAATGCAGCAGAACTCAAATGAGACAATTCCGGTGAAAAGCAGAAAAACAGAACACAAGTTCAAGAACAAGCGTGAGAGATGGAAACAGAAGAAGGAGAGAGTAAAAGGCAGAGACTTTTTGTGGTGAGAGTTTAAGTGAGAGGAGAGGGAGAAAACCCTCGATTCAAGGGAATTGATTCCTCAATTTCTCTCCTTTGGTTCTTCGATTTTTTTTTTTTATGGGTAGGAAAAATTTTGCAGTGAAAGAGAAAGGAGAAAGGAAAGTTTGAAGCTTTCGTTTCTTTTGATGTGTAAAATACACAAAGACACAACTTCTTCTCTTTGGGTAAATTATTAATTTTTGAGAATGGGTTTTTAATTTCAATATATTTTGACATTTTTGGTGGATTAGGAGTTTTAATTGGATAGATCTGAGTTATTGAAAAACATATGTTACCTTATCTGACGTTGACGTATACAGATGAATTACCTAGTCAGGATAATATTAATTTTCATATTTTCGATAATTTAATATATTTCTTATATTGGAAATTATAGTGTTTAGAAGTGAATACAAAATTATTTGTTCTCAAAGTTTTCTAACAGAAAGTTAAAAAAAAAAAATATGGTCTAACAGATGGACAAAAATTTGAAGAAAAAAAAAACAACTACAAATACATATACCTTTAATAAATAAATGCTAAAGAAACGTGAGTATGTCAACACTCAACAGTGAAGAAAAACATTTTGGATTAATATTTACTTTAAAAGATGGTCGGTTATTTTGTTTGGTCAGAAGCATACTTTAGTTATCACCTAGCTAAATACACTATTTGTATC